TGAGGGATGGGATGGGGGAGGGGAAGATGAGGGTTGGGGGTGGGTGGGGTGGGGGGGGGTGGGGGGGGGGGGGGGGGACTTGGCGCCGCGCCAGCGCTGGCTGGATGGCGAACCGCCGAGCTCCTGAAGCCGATCGTGGATTTCTCCGTGTTGGCCCCAGCTGCGAGGTCGTACTTGAATCATCAGGATGACGTGCAGGGTGCCATGACTCAGTTGGAGTCAGCTGCATTCGTCTTCGAGGGTGGCGAGAACTTGAGGGCGCAGTTTCTTCTTCGTTGGCACCGCCTTGCAACTGCGATCTGCTTGCTCATGAACGAGTGCTCGAAGGACTTCGACGTCTCGGGCCTTTCCGTATCGGACGACGTGGTGGAGAAGATGAAAGAGCCCAAGAACGAGGGGGGCGCGTTCTCGAGCTGGTTGACTTCGTCCCTCGAGAGCCTCCCTGGGGCTTCGGCGAACTGGGGGGCCCAGATCGACATGAACCTCGACGGGGGCCGCTTGGCCAGGGTCGTGACCGAGCTCCAGGGCAAGGTCGGCTGTGCAGTGCGGGCGCAAGTCAAGAGACATCTTCTGTTTCATCAGGGTTCCCCGGGCTTGCTTGCGTCTGGCGGGGCTGGTCGCCGCCGCCTCGAAGAAACTGCGCATGTCAGGGCGCCTTGGGTTTCTTGTGCGTGGCGTGCTTCGGGGCGCGCGCCCCTGAAGGAGGCAAGCGGAAACGCCTACTTTTCTATTGTGGACAATGCAGATGTCACCGCGCGCGCGTGAGGATTTCTGCATTGTCCACGATAGAAATGAGAAAAGCCGCCATGTAATTCCGAAACAACAGAATTTGACATTTCTGTGGGCCTCTAAGGGGGCCGACGGACATGCCGACTTTTGATTTGTGGGCAATATAGAAGTCCCCACGCGCGCGCGTGAGGAGTCTTGTATTGTCCACGATAGAAATGCCGCCATGTAATTCTGAAAGACAGGATATGCAATTTCTGTGAGCCTTTAAGGAGGCCGACGGACATGCCTACTTTTCTATTGCGGGCAAAGCAGAAGTCCCCACGCGCGCGCGTGAGGAGTTCTGCATTGTCCACGATGGAAAAGCCGCAATGTATCTCCAAAAACAGAATTTGGCATTTCTGTGGGCCTTCAAGGAGGCCGACGGACATGCCGACTTTTCTTTTGTGGACATTACAGAAGTCCCCACGCGCGCGTGCGCGTGAGGAGTTCTTTATTGTCCACAATAGAAAAGCCGCCGTGCCATTCCAAAAGCAGGCTTTGAATTTTCTGTTTGTGCAAGGCCCGAAGCTCGCGCTGTCGACCGCCCTGGGTTTCTTGATGTCAAAGTAGCTTGCGCAGGTGATCGAGAAACCGCTCGGGTCAGGGTGCCCTGGGTTTCTTCGTTTGCAGCCCAAGTGCAAGACGCCCAACCCTGGGCCAAGAAACTTCGGGCGGATTTCAGGGTTTGGTTTCTTGCGGTCTGTTTCTTGTGTTCTGGTCTCCACTGTAGGGCAGGGCTGTTGGAGAAGAGGAGGGGGTGGGGGAGGAGAGGTGGAGGAGGAGGGGGACGAGGGGGAAGAGGACGAAGAGCATTTGAGTCCCCCCAGTTTCGATCCCTCTCCTGGGGAGGGGCTAGCAAGGTGATGCAGGCCATGGGCAAAGCCATGCAGTCTCTGGCGGATGAGATCAAGGACCTGGCCCCGTCGAAGGTCAGGCTTGCCCACCCGCGCATCTTCGCCGACAAGGACACGCGGAAGGAAATCATCGATGACGAGGCTTTGCCAGTTCGCGCGCTGCGCCCCCAAGCCGAAGAGAGGGATGGGGGGGGGGGGGGGGGCGAGGCAGCGAAAGAGGGGGGGGCGGCAGGAGGGGGGGGGGGGCGGCGCAGGGTAGATTGCAGGCGGGCCGGGGTGGTGGTGGCGGGGGGGGGGGGTCTGAGGGGTGGGGGGCGGGAGGAGGGGGGGGGGGGCAGGAAACGGCCAGGGAGGAGGAGGAGGGAGTTGAAAGAACGGAGGAGGGGTGGGGGGGTGGGGGGGAAGCAGGGGAGCCGTGTCACTCGCCAGAGCGCGAGGATGATAGCGTTTCGTGCGTTGCGGCTTGGGGAGGGCGTCCATGTTCCGATGCTCTGGGGCGCCCTCAGTTAGGGTAGTTGGAGGCTGCGGGCGCGCTCTCATCCAGCAAGAAGGTGAACGAGGCCTCGGCTGGCCTGGCGGCGAGCATGGCCCTCAAGATGCATTTCCCTGGGGTCTTGAAGCTGTCGGGCCATCTTGTTCATCCTTCTGCTTCTTCTTCTTCCTCTCATCACTCATCACTCACTCATCATATCATCTTCCCCCCCCCGTGTAAACGCGATCCTAGCTGCCCGCTCCCCGGCCGCCTGGCCTTGCAGAACGCGCGCGCGCGCGGCATGGTGGTGATTGCCGTCGCGTACGCGCTCGGGGGGATTACCGAGATCAAGCCCGACGCCCCCGGCGCAGAGGTGGCCGAGAACGCAGCCGGGGTCTCGGAGTGGCCCGCGCGCAAGGGCGTCGGCGCCCAGGACAAGGGGAGGAGTGAGGCAGGAGGGGAGGATGGGGGGATGACGAAGCTCACCCTCGCCATGAGGAGCGAGGGAGGAGGGGGGGGGATCAGGAGGGCATGATCCATGCGCCATGAACATGAAACATGAGGGAGGAGGAGCAGGAGGGAGAGAGGGAGGAGGGAGGGAGGAGGTATGGGGGGAGTGGCGAGGAGGGAGGGGGGAGGGGGGAGGGAGGGAGGAGGTTGGAAGGAAGGAGGACGCGAGGCAGGTGGAAGAGACGTAGAAGGAGGGGCGGGGTGGGGTGGTGGTGGCGGTGGTGGTGGCGGGTGGGTGGGGTGGGGGGGGGGGATGGCGCCGTCGCCTTCCTGTAGGGCGGCACCCCGCTGCCGCCCGTCGTGGCCAAGACGCTCAATCAGCTCGAGGCCATGGCGTGAGGTTGGCGGCTTGCGCGCCGAGGGGCGCCCTCCAGGAGGAGGGGGGGGAGGCGCGGGGTGACGGGATGAGGTGGTGGAGGAGGAGGAGGAGAAGAATTGCTGGGCAAACTCGGGTTAGGAGTGCGAGGTAGCGCGAGTGCATCAGGAGTAGTGTCGCGAGCGGTGACAATGACATGGGCGGGCGTCCAGGATCGCTCCTTTCGACTCGAGAGGTTCTCGCTCGACCTTCTCCGGACTCTCTGGCGCCCCTCTTTTTCATGCCGCCTCAAGGTGCTCCTTGCGTTTCCTGCCGCCCCCATTCTCTTTCCCCCCGAGCCTTCTTCCTTTTGCGAAAGGTCCAAACGTGGCGCAGCCCCCCCCCCCCCCTCGAAAACCATAGGATATGAAACGTATGTTTTGGAATTATTGGCTCGGCCCGCCCAAACCGCCTGTCGGGGCGTCCCAGTTTATTCCGCGTTGCGACGCACGCCGCCCCCCCCCCTCCCCACCTTGGACTTGGGCCCCGTTGCTGGGCCCAGAGGGCGATGCCTTGCCCCCTCTCCTCCCCTCCTCCTCCTCCTCCTCCTCCACCTCCTCCTCCTCCTCCTCCTCCTCCTCCTCCTCCTCCTCCGCCCCCCCTGGCCCCTTTCCCTCGAGTCGTTCGAGGTGGGGCGCGCGCGCGTGAAGGGGGCGCAGCGCGCCCGGGCCGCAATGGCACGATTCGGACCCTCGCTGGCGGGGGCCACCTGGCGCACGGCGAGGGCGCAGAGGCGGTCGCGAGGCTGCCGGGCGCCATCGAGTCGCAGTTGGGCAAGAAGGACGTGGGCATCGTTGTCTGCGGCCAGCCCTGCTGGCAGCATGGTGCACCTGACGCAGGAGGATGCCCCCCAAACGCGGACCTCGCCCAGTCGTGCTCGTGGCGGGGCTGGCACGCGGCAGGGGCCTTTCCCCGAGGGCTTGGGCACGTTCAACGAGATGCCCTCGGAGGAGGTCTCTGTCAAGATGGAGGGGGAGGTGCCGTCGGCAACGGACAGGTGCTACAACCGCTTGAAGTTCGAGAGGGAGAAAGAAGGCGCGCCGGGTGTCCTCGGACCTCTCGTGGCAGCAGAAGCAGTTGGAGGACTCGGATGTGCGCCAGATTCGGGGCGCTTTCAGTCTCGACCAGGACCTAGTGGAGACCTGGCCGACAATGGGGGCGAGGCTGCTGGAGGCGCAGACCCTGAGCAGTCCCGCGGAGAAGGGCAGCCCGGAGGACAGCCAGGGCGTCGACTCGTCGGAGGTCGACCCCGTCAGGATGCCCAAGCTGCCCCCTTCGCCCGCCGGTGGACTTCGCGAAGGGCAGTCCCAAGCCGGTGGCCAACTCGGAAGTGGGCGCGGAGAAGAAGGCGGTGCGCAAGCCGAGGCCCAAGAAGGCCCAGCGGCGACCGTCGGAGAAGGGGCTCACTGTGCTAACGGCGGTGGGGTCCAGCAGGGAGGCCAAAAAGCGGGCCCCCCTGGAGACTCAGCCATGCAACTTTGGAGACGGTCTCCCATTGCGTCGCCAAACGGGAGTGCAGCTGCCTGGAGGTCAACTTCGGGTTCCGAAGCCGCTGCCGCAGGTGCAACCAGTGGGCGCCTGCCCGCGCCATCCTGCAGCAGAATCTCCAGAAGGAGGAGCTGGACAAGTTCAAGGAGGTCAGGTTCTCGGAGGGCCAGGTCAAGTTGCAGAGCGCCTACGAGGCCATGCCGGAGGAGTACAAGACGGAGGAGCAGGAGGAGAACAAGGTAGTGAACGCGCCAGCGGGGATGCGCCTTCGCAGGTGGAGTCGCTGGATGACAGCATCGGCGTCGACAGGCTCGCAAGCTGGTGGGCAGAAGATCTCGGGTCTGAAGAGCCCCTGCCGTGCGGGCCCGAGGTGATCGACATCTCCAGTGTCTGCGGCGAGAGGGGGGGCGACATCGAGAGCAGCTCGGCCGTCAGCTTCGGAGGCTCGGTGGGCGTCCTCTCGGGCAAGGGCTCGGACCGCAGGGGCAAGCGCAACAGGCGCAAGGGCAATGTTATTGCAGCTTCTGGCAGCAACGGCAAGGGCAAGAGCAAG